CTGGAAGAAGTCTCTAGTCTATACACTGTAACTTTTTGAGCTATGGATGGCTATTTGTTGAGGTGAAGCAATAGCTTGATGAATAGCATGCTGCCATGTCTAGCACTCTTAGCTGAAGGTTGCCACAGTGATTCAATTATTTCTAAGATGTAGCTGTAGTCAAGAAATGTACCTCAACGTCCCTCACCGCCCGCAACTGCTTCTCAGCAAATCTATGCGAAAGCAAGAAGAATCTTCATTTTTACAGCTTTCAACAGCAGAGACTGCAAATTGGATCATCCAGATCGATGCACTACTGAACAGTTAGTAGCAAGTGATGACAGGGTCTGACATCAATTGTTTAGGTTGTTCTTCTATCTTGGTGGTCCTCAAAACAAATTCTATCGACACGAAAGGCAGCCTTTGTATGGTTGAAGTCTCGTTCAACTAAACAATATGTGATAGAGAAAGTCCATGAAAAACAAGAGTTCGGCATGCATTCACCATCCATTTCAGCAGGTAATTTAAACAATCGCAGATGCCGTATAAACCAAAACCATAAAGGACTTGAACTCGATCATGCAAAATACCCGAATGATTTTGGCCATTAGTACTATTCCAGAATTACGTTTAAATCCAAGCATTAATCTGTTTTGGTCAATGGCACATTCCAATGCACTAACCTCGACGTCGAAGGTTGTAGTTCCTCCAAGAAATGTCCAAGAACTTTTTTTTCAACAACTTGAAAGGGAAGCATGATGTCTGGTTGAGAGAGAAGAGCAAATTAGGATTTAGATTTTCAATTAAAAAGGGTCTTCAACAAGGCCAGATTAGCTGGATTGATATTATTCAATTATAAACCTTCCTAGCTCGTATTAGACTCCAAGTAACAGGTTTTCGGAGTCAACCCGTCACGAATCAGGCTCCAGGCACCATGTCTTCTTAGCAAACCCTAGCAAGTATATATGATCAAAATAATCTATCATGTGCTAATTACCGTTAAGATGTTTTTCTTCTTCTTTATTTAATGGCTTTTTACGTGCTTTTGGTTAGGTGTGTTCAATGAGCTTTCTCCTCTTCCATTTCAAATTTAAATTTGAAAAAAGAAGGTACAAAGAAAGAAATTTCTTAAATGCGTTAACCAGAACAACTAGAAGCCATTGTTTCTTAAAAAAACTTAATTTCGATGCATAAAATTTAATTCAAGAGAATCAATATCATAGAAAATCACTTATATGACATAAATACATTAATATAAATATACAACACGTCTCTTTTTTTTTAAAGCATTATGAAAAAAAAGGGTTTTCTTTGTAGAATATCTGAAATATATTAGTAAATTAAACTATACCGAAATCAGAATTATAGAAAAATAAACATTGAAAAATCATTAGCATATTAGAATTATAAGAAAATATTAATTTAATATTTTTCAAACCAATATAATTCTTCTAAACACGAAAACAAACTATACCAAGATCATAAGCTATCGCAAGAGTATTCATTGCGTGTGCGTACGTGTATTTAAAAATGGTATCATTTGAAATCCACGGTACACGTGAAAGACTTGATCCAAGTCAAAGCAGGAGGAAGGAAAATACAGGGTCATAATCACATGAATAAACAATAGATTCATGTTTGATGTTCCTACAAGGAGACCAAAGTACAGGAACCACACTGGTCCTGTTTCTCTGTTGGTGAAAGACACGCGCCTGAAACAGCGCATGTGACTACCCGTCCCTTGATGTTTCTTGAGACTGCACGCTCACTTGCTTTCGTTCTGACATAATCTCCCGTACGGTGCCACGCAAGACTTAAACTAGATTCGCCATCTTCTCCTCTCCTCTCGGCTACGTCTCTGCATCTCCGCCGTACAGTCACATGCCTTTGGTGTACATACGCAGGAGTCAGGGTACTGTTCTGTATCCATATGGAGTACAGTATAAAGAAGGCTTTCCTACGGCCCCTCCCCTCCAGTCAAGGGGTCAGTGATTGGGGGGTTCCTTTAATTGCCTTTTAAAAATGCATCTCACTTTAAAAATTATTAAATTAATATTATCTTGGTATTTTCCTATAATTATACTACACTATAGTCAAGAAATAAAGAAATTTTAAAAAACACATTTTTTTTGTTAGTTGCAGGTGTTATAATTAGAAGAGGGACATAAAATCAAGAAGAATAATGAGATGTAATAATAAAAAAAAAAATAAAGAAATGACATCTTAAAAAACTAGCATGTAAATTCCGAGAAATACCAATTAAAGGCAAAAAAACTGATAGAATAATGTCAAAAACACATTAGAATTCTAGTAGTTGAATATAAATGATATTGTTCATGGATTGATATCATGAAATAACAACAGGGGGGGCTTTTTTAGTAGTCTATTTGGTATTTTAGTAGTTTGTATTTTCATGTTTTGAGAAAATATTTTTAGTTATAATTTTTATAGAATATATATTTAATTAGAATTGTTGTGAGGTAAATTTTTTAAAAACAAATCTTTATGAATAAAAAATATATTATTTTTATTTTTACATAACTGGATTTTTAAAACTATTATATGAAATAATGAAAATATAAGCTATTTAACTAATTAAATAGTTTTTTTAATGAATAAGAAATAAAAAATTTACTGTGAAAAATTATCTTTAAAAGGTATTTGAGAATATAGTATAATTATGTTATATAAAATCTATGATTTTTTTATTTTAAATTAATGTTTTTGAGTAGTTTTGATGTTTTGATATTAAAAATAAATTTAAAAATATAAAAATATTATTTTAATTTTTCTATAAATAAAAATTACTTTCAAATATAATTTTTATTACAATTTTAAACTGTCATTAAATACATAAGGACTCGACAAACATCTTTTCTACGGTAATTCTTAAGATTTATTTGTTCTTGTGGTTGTTTCGTTAATTTTTGAATTTTTGAATTAAAATTAATTTTTATTTAATATTTTTACTTTGTTCTGATATTTGTGTTAAAAATAATTTTTAAAATTAAAAAATATTAATTCATATATTTTCAATAAAAAACATGACAAAAAACAACAATTATTAAATTTCATGTCGATACCTCTCTCTAGCCTCTAGCGATGGGTTCTTTTTCTCTGTCCTCGGCAGCATCATGGCCACTGGCCCACTTGCTGTATCTGGGAGAAATTAGCGATACCCATAATAATTCAATCTGGGTTGTCTTTATTAAGTGGGTCCATTTCTTTTATTTTGTACGGCGAGTATTTGGTAGCTCGGTAGCTGTGGCTTTTAAATGCATTTTAAAATTGAGATTCATTTTAAAATATATTAAATTTTTATTTTTTTAATTTTAATGTATTAATATGAAAAATAAAAAATATATTAATTTTTAATATATTTTCAAATAATTTAAAAAAAATATAATTTGAAACCAGCCCGACCTAGAGAATAAGTGGATCTCAACCCAAATTTTGAAAGTTGGGTGCATGGAGGAAGAAATGGGCTATTTATCCAAGTGGATCACTCCCCTTAAGAAAGAACACTTCTTTTCCTTTCCCTACCATCACCCTAGAAAACAATCTAAAATGGGCACAGATCTAAAATTGTTTTATTGAATTTTGTTTTCATGGAATAAAAGACTGACTATCGAGGTCGAGATCCGAGTATCAACAGGGACTCTAGCTTGACAAATCTTCTCCAAGGAAGAGAGACTCCCCGGGCCAGATAGGTTCCAGAGTGTTCTTCAGAGGGATGCAGCCTTTTTCTGCTAGACATGAAGGAATCTGTCTTCTTGCTCGGAAGCGATAAACTTCGAAGAAGACACTTGTGGCCGACGCAAATCCAACCTCGATAGACATAATTTTTCTGCCTTTAGCACGATGCCCTTCATGAATTCTTGTCTTCCTTTCCCTGCTTTACAAACGTTATTAGCAATTCGGAGGACTTGAATCAACCTCGCATGTGCGTGAGCTGTTATATTGTCAGCTTATAATTGAGGTTGAATTTGTTTTTTTTTGGTTAAAATTTATTTTTTTAATATTTTTAGATTGTTTTGATGTTGTTAATGTTAAAAATAAAATTTAAAAAATAATAAAAATATTTTATACTCTCAAATACCCTGTTAATATTGAAGTATCGGCAGCTAACAATACCCCAGCTGATATAGAAGAGCTCAAAAACACACATCCCCACCCCTAAGGGAATTAAAAAACGAAATTATTTTTTGTTTATAGGAAATCGATCAGTCCATGCTGCTATAAAATTAAATGTTCTATTTTGTTGCCTCCAAAGAGCTCTCTTTGAGACTCTCACTCTCTATGCTTCTTCTCTCAATAATGGCTTCCAAGTCTCGACTCCTTGACTACATGAAACTCTGTGCAACCTAGAAGTGAAGAGTTGTCAAACAATGGTTCAAGTTTCTAGTGTTTTGACTTGACCAAATTGTGGCATAACCATTTTCCTGTTTTATCTTCCAGGCAAACCTTGATCTCCTAGTCACAGAGTAAATTGCCTGTATGGTATCCCTGGTGCAGGTGGATGAGAACTTAGCACTTATTCTGGATTTCATCGCATTCTCTTCTTAGCGGGACATCCTTTTTTCTGGTTTTCTTTTCTAGGGTTTCAGAAGAAAGCCGTGATCAACAGGAAACCAGAAGTGGTGGGCAGATCCTTATAATTCACAAATTTAATACAAGGCTACCTGTAACTTCAAACATCACAAATTACGAAAAAACATGAGGAGATTTGTAAGGAATACATTATTTATGCACCAGTCCCACCTTCTTGTCAGTTGTATTAGTTTGAGGTCTGTAGTCTGTACTGAAGTGGGGTGTTCATGGGGTCGTTGTTTTTTTCTTGTCAGTTGTATTAGTTTGAGGTCTGTACTGAAGTGGGTCGTTCATGGGGTCGATGTTTTTTTAAATATTTTTTTAATTAAAAAATAATATTTTTTATTTTTTTATTTATTTTTAATACGAACAATCTAAAAATTAAAAAAATAATAACAATTCAGTAACTCCATTTTGACAGCACTCCCACGTAGAGGTGAAGAAGATTCAGCATGTATCCAGAAAAACTAACTTTACTCTCTCAAAACACAAGATTATGCGATGAAACTCATCCAGTTTACAAACAAAACTCACTCATAAGAAAATTTAATCTAGAGCACTCTAAATTATAGCAGTAATAATGAAATCAATAAGCTCCACCGCAGAGGTTTCTACAAGAAATATCCAACCAGACATCACAGGGGTTTGAGAAGACATCAAGAAATTACAAAGGGCAAGCTCATTGCCCACTGCTAAATAAAAACAAGGGCTGAAAAGTTAAAATAATGTCATGCGATACCTATTAAGACAAGCTTTCATTGCTTGATGGGAGTCTTATGCATGTTTGAACATCTTCATGCTAAGCCAATGAAAATACACAGCACTGACCAGGATAGGAAGTGTCAAGGGCACCAAGAAGCAGTAATACCTGTTGTTATTAAACAAATTAAGACCAGTTTAGATTTAAGAAAAAGAAAAAGAAAAAAAGCCAAAAGCAGCAGCTAAGTAAAAATCACCTGTCGTTTTGAATGGCAGAGATGATAGGATTGTCCGATAATGGAAGGAGCTTCGATATCACTGCCGCGAATAGAAATCCCACAAAGGAAACGGAACCCATCAAGATAAACAACCATCCTCTAAAGGTTGCCGCTTCGCTTAATCTCATTCGAGAAAAAAACATTTCTCTCTTTGGAACCAATTGTGGAGGCGCAAAGGAGACGGTCGGGGAGAGGGATAATTCCGGAAAATAAAAATGTAAAATTTATCATTCGGGTCGGGTATGTAGGAAAACAAATCGGAACCCGTGATTAGCAAAAGTGTTTAATTAATACCGTAGTGTCTATAGTTTAATATAATTAATTAATTAGCCCTTGTGGTTTGTAAAATACATTATTATAGCATCCTTACATTTTTAAATCCATTCACAGCAACTTAATAGAAGAGGAGTGTTATTTCAATTTTTAAAGGGTAAAAGAAAAAACATTGTCAGAAAAAAATTGGGATTTTCCTTGAAATAAATGTTGTATCTTTTCCAAAAAATTTCTTATAAAACTTAATTAGAAAATCCACTTCTTGTTCTTAAGAAAAACTACAGTTTAATGAATTTTCTGGAAAAAAATAAAAATGTCAGCTCAATCCATCACCTAATTTGGTTTTGTTTTTAATTATTTACTTATTTGGAGGCAAGTTACCACATCTATTTTTGTTTAATAAATTAATAGAGTAATTTTTTAATTAAAAAAGAGATGACTAATCAACTAATTATGATAAACTACCTGTACGAAATTATAATTTTTTTAATGGTTCAAATGGGGATTTTTTATTAATAAGAATTGCAAGGTAATTATTTTTAAAAGTATTTTTATTTAAAAATATATAAAAATAATATTTTTTATTTTTAAAAATAATTCTAGATAAAAAAACATAAAAAAATCTAAACTGTTTTTGAAAGATACCGTTTTTAAACACGTTAACAAACGGCTGTAAGGCCCAAACCCAAGGCCCGTTTAAGAAAGTGACACTCAGTCATAACTAACCAGCACTCAAATTCCCAAAATTCTAGAGAGGGAAACAGAACAAAGCGGCCACATTTTCTAGAGCGAGAAACCAATTGATAGTAATGGCAAACACGGAAGCAGAAGCGGTTGATTTTGAGCCAGAGGACGATGATTTGATGGACGAAGACGGTGCAGCCGACGTCGACGCCTCCTCCTCGCCGCGAGCTCCACTTCCGAAGTTAAAGTCGGCTATCACCGGAGGCAGCGCGTCTCCTTCACTCTCCGCTCCTAAAAAGACTAAAGGCCGTGGATTTAGAGAAGAGGTTGATACTGAGAGACAGAGCCGATTCTCCGGTCGTGGATTTGATTCCCTCGGTTCTGATGGTGGGCCTGGCCCCCAGCGATGTGAGTGAAACTTAAACCCTAGATGCTTTTGGCTTTGTTTTTTGAATTCTAGGGGCTTAGAGTTAATTGAAAGTTAAAAAAACAATATTAGGGTTTTGATTGGTTTTGTGATTTATGAGGTGGTTAACTGTGAATTAATGTGGTTAATTATTTTCTTCTGTTTTATTATTGAAAATTCAAGATGGAATGTGCTGTTTTTTTCTGTATATGTGATGCAATTAAACAAATAAAATAAAATAGTGAAACTTTTGTTTGAAATTAGGGGAATATGGCATCGAGTCTTATATAATACTAGAGACTGCTCATGTAAACTAGCTCCACATTAGGTAGAAAAAGTTCCACATTGTGCTAGAATGGTTTGCTTGCACGGGGATCCTCCAAAACTAAATTATCTTGGTGGTTTGTTTTGAAATAATTTTATTGGTTAGAGTACAAATCTATTGGATCAGTTCCCGTTGTTATTTAAAAAACAGTACCCCGTTATTCTTAGTCATTTCATGAAGCAATTTGTGAATGATCCTGGTGCTTTGAAGGTTCTTATAGCTTGAACAAATAATGTTTTGCTCTTGCTAGCTGATCTCTGTTATCATTTGTTTAAAAAGCAGTTTTCTTTTTGTTCTGAAACTTGTGGTGGATGTTAATTGTTCCATCTATTTGCAGCTGTTGAAGGATGGATAATTTTGGTGAGTGGAGTTCACGAGGAAGCACAAGATGATCATTTGCAAGAAGCTTTTGGTGAGTTTGGAGAAATAAAGAATTTGCATTTGAATCTTGATCGCCGCACTGGTTTTGTTAAGGTAAGCAAAACCTTTCCTTTTTTTTTTAATGTTTTTTGTAGTTGGTTGGTTCTTTTGTTAAGTTGGGAGTCAATATCAATGAAAACCATTGTTAGATTGGAATTCAAAACACAGAGATCAATCTTATTACAAGTCCCTCTGTTTTACTGATTTATGGTTTGGAGCATTTGTTCCAAAAATTCACATTTCAATTGGAACTCAAATCTAATAAATCAAAATAGCACACAGCAATCTCACTTTTCTTAAAGTATAAACTGTGGGTTGAATCTTTAATTGTTATGATTTTAGGCATCTTCTAAAAAAAAAATCATCTCTATTCAATTTGCAAGTTAATTGATGCTGAGATATTAGCTGTGGCAACTCAGATTTATTTAGTTATCATTCTGAAATGGTGTTTCATGCTGCATGACTGTATCATTGATCCTTGATCGTCGAAAATGATCTACCCTTGACTCCACTTAAATTGTGTACTATTTTTATATTTCCACCTGTGTTATTTGCAACTTGCTCGAAAGGTTGTGTAAGTTGCTGGGCTTTATATTTTTTTTTTGTGAGGAACTGAAACCGTAGTGGTTTTTGTACTGCTTGACTGTCTCCACCTGTTTTCAGTCATGTTAACTCTGTGTGTGGATAGTATTACAGATATGTGCTCACCCAGGAGAGAGAGTATTGATATATAGGATTTTTGTTGGCACTGGTTGCTCTGGTGGTTATGCACGTGTACACAAAGCATGATTGCATACATTTGATGTGAAGGAAATTTGGCAACTTTTCAGTTCCAAAATTTTAAAAGCAGCTGATGTTTATTTACTCATTCCACACAAAACAAAGAATCATAACATTTGACATACATGGAGCCACATGTAATTCTGTTAATTGTATAGCATGGTATTGATTCAATTGGGTTTTGAGGTGGCCAAATTCAACACTAATGTACTACATTTTGCAGTCCTCGGGCCTCAAAAAGCTTTATTTCTTGATCCTCTGTTTTACTGATTTATGGTTTGGAGCAAAAAGCTAATGAATGTGATTCCATGCCTTCTATTGTGGTCATGACAATTAACAATAACATTGGCCTGTTGTTTTTGTTGAAAATTATGAAACAAGTATTCTTTCATTAAGTTAATGCATAATACCTTTTGTTTTGCAAGGGCTATGCGCTGATAGAATATGAGAATTTTGAGCAAGCAGAGAATGCAATAGCTTCAATGAATGGGGGGACATTGCTTGAACAGGTTATCAATGTTGATTGGGCCTTCAGCAATGGTCCCAGCAATTGGGCCTTAAAGAGAAAGAATATGAGGTTTGTCTCTATGCATTACTTTCATAAGGTGAAAAATTATTTGAAGTCATATATTATTACATAGAGAGGATGTCTGTAATTACATAGAAGTCTCCTCCGTAATGATCAAAGTTACTCTAGAAGTTTGAAAAACACTTTAATAAGTTGGGTCTTCTAACTCTGTAAATTTCTTCAGTGGGAGTTTTAAATTGTCTCAACCTGCCTGTCGTCTGTCAAGGGAAAAACTCTGGCTATTAATGACAGATTTGTAGGAATTGTTGTATGACCAGACTACCCTCAATCCTAGTCAAATTCAAGGTGCTGTTTATATTTTGTCAAAGAATATGTAATGCTCTTCAGCTGGATAAAACTTTTATAGGGTGGTTTTAGATAATGCAGTGAAATTCACACTGCTTCTAACTACATTGCTTCTAACTACATGGCATTACGCTCAGACTTGGGTGAATTGAAAAGGGAAGAGTTGGTTTTGATGTGGATTTTCTTATGAAGCAGTCCAGGTGTTTTTAAGGGCTTATATGCTTCACCTTTGCTTCTTCATGCTCTTTACTCGTATGACTTTTGAACAGTTTAATTGAGATAGTACATGCCTGTGTGTGATGGTGTTTCATCTCCATGCGGAAATGTGCTGTCCATAACTATTATATGACTCCCAATCAAATTCTAGATAAGTGATAGCATCTTCCTGATGCATGACGCTGTCCTCTTTGACTATATATGAGTTGCTTCAAATCTGAGTTAGATCTTGGCCGGCTCATCTGCTATTTCTTTAGTTGTGTTAGCTGGGAATATAACTTGTTATCTTTCAATTTTTTGCAGACCTGGACGAACGCATCGCTCAAGGAGTCCTAGGAGGAGATACTAATGGGTTGAGATTTCTGTTATGAAGGTGTATGATTTTGCTTTGAGGCATTTTCTACTTAGTTATCATGGAAGATCGTGGTTGATTCTTGTCTTCATCGGGTTTATGAATTGATCATCTGTTTGTTGGGAATCCCTCCAGTTTCTCCCCTTTTGTTGAATGGATTTACACTAATTTCTAAGTTTAGTAATCACTGTGTATTTGACTCTGATTTTGTACTAATATTTAAGTTTAGTTATCTGGTTTATTTGGGTGCTTAAGATATATTCAGTTCTGAGATTTTTGTGAGGCTTTTAAGTTCCATTTAGCACGTTGCTCAAGAGCGGCCTTTTCAGTTAGTTTATTTGGCTTTGGAGTTCAAAGATTTTTCCAGTGCTACATGGCCGAACTTGGTTACTGATTTGGGTTCCAGATCTAGTGGTGTTTACCTGGCAAGGAATGCCAATATTCTTGTATGCTCAAACACTAGCATTCTGCAATTCTGTACGAAGTGATACTCGGAAGCTGTACTAGCCGTTATTCTCCATCGAAATTATGGTAAACAGCTGGTTTGTTTGGGATTGTGGTGTGGTATGGTTTGAGTATTTTAATTTTTTTATGGGATCTATAAAAAAAGAAAAAAATTATGTATATTTTTAGTTTTTAGTAAGTCGAGATTTACAACACGCTCGTGTATGCTTTGATAAATCTCGTTCACGCAACGAATGGACTGGAGCTTCTATGAAGGTATTGACGATGGTGTCATCATAAGCTCAACCGAACAAATATGAAATGAACTACTTCGTGTGATATCATTATTATTCTCCACGTTATGATGAATTTTAGTGGAGGTACGTGTACCAAGAGGAAGACAGCCCCCATCGTACCTTGCTTTCTTGTTTGCCTGTCAGTCAAGAGTAAAATTATCAGCAGATTAATAGGATACCATGCCATCTCAATGATATTATAATTATGGGGGGGTGAGCATGTTCTCAGCTTTCCTCTGAATTCCTCCACTGTACAAACAGTCATACTAGAAATTCTGCTCCTGATGGTTCTCTACTCTAATTCCAGCTCCCTGCTCTCCCACAGCAAGCTAAAAGAAGGTCCGATATTTCTTACTTTCTCTTCTTTGTTATATGTACGAAATTCGTATACTTGTAGTAGTAGATCTATACATGTATGTTTCTGACATGTTCTTCTGTATGTTGTATGTTTTCCTCAAGAAGCCACGGCCGTCCAATAATTGGCCATGCATAAGGTTGTTGGAGTGCCAATAGTGCGTGACCATACCCAATGTGTACCCTCCACTCTTCGCATCTCTGCCAACTGCCACAAGTATTAATGTGAGCACCATTCTCATTTTTATATCCCTTCTAAGTTTATGTTAGCTTGGAAGAATGTTTCAGATTAGAAGCATGCAGCCACTAGAATTTTAGAACACAAACTGCACATAGAAAGTAATCAATAGCTCAACTTTTAACTTCCTGAATAAAATTTCTAGTAAGTTTGCTGTCAAGAGTGTTAGGCTGTTTCCTAGAAAACATTTGCTGACATGTATAACGTGTTTATCTTCTATGAAAATGTTCATGTAGTTTTCAAGTTTTAGTCCAACTCCATATTCTTGGTCTGTTTATGTGAAACTTGCAGCTCTTTCTTTGTGAATTAGGATAAACCCTGCTTCTCAAGTTTACTTATGTTCATTATTAGAAATCAAAGACAGTAAATGAACAAATGTTCCTTACTCTTCTATCCTTGAGCTCGAAGATAACTGAATCATCAGAAAATGGGATTGGCCTTGTTGGTGCCACCTGTGAATGTTCAGAACACTCATCATTGATTTCTAATGCTGTCCAGCATCCAGTTAGTAAATGAATTAAAAGAAAAAAAGGGAAAAGATTATTATACCAACCTTTGGGTCACAGTTTCTATTATAATCACTGTACTTCTCTGCAACATTCTCCAAGCTAGCTGCAAAATCTTTATCCATGCAAACTTCTTCACTATCATCATTTCCACCCTCTTGTGTTTGATCTTCGTTCATTAATTTTCCCACATATGGGAAGCCACAGTTTTTCCATCTCCATGTCATTTTGTCCATATACCTAACGTATACTTTTCCATCTGAACCTATAAGAAAAAGTTGATTACCTTCAAAACATGGGCTAGGGGAAGTGATCAAGGTTACACCTTTATTAGGTGTTCCATGTTCAATCCAATTCCAGCCATCACCAGTATTCCAATGGTATTCAACTAGTCCACCATCTTCTGAAAGCATAAATAGTGAGCCTGTAAGTGATTGTGATGATGCCCTCATAGCAGTTCCAGGTGATCTTGATAAAATCAAATGTTGCGACTGATAATGCTCATGCCACAATTCAGTCACTTTGTTATACTGGTATAGCTTTCCATTCCTTCCGATGACAAACACTATGTTGTCCCGGAACAGCTCCTGATCAACAATACTTGCAACTTTGGTATTTGGAGGGTTTTGACAATCTTTCCATTTGAATTTCCTCAGCGCAACCTGCACAGAAACTTGATTAAATGATCAGCAATGGCCTGCTTTACAAGTCTGGGAAAATCCCAGAAGTACCTTTTCTGCTGTGGCTTTCTAGCCTTCAGTAGGAGTTTAAAGTAAAATTTCAGAATATTTGTTTCTATTAATCAGTAATGTTTCTTGGTTGCCAGATCACATGAAATACTTGTATGGATGGTGATGATGCAATGACATAATGAAAAATTAAGTGAATCAGAAGTAGGAAAAGAAATTCTCTGATGCTTTTAATCTTTTGTACTCATTGGAGTTGTATACCAATAGAAATAATCTGGTTTATTTGATTCCTGCTACTTACTGTGAACTGCAGTAGTCTTCCATTTTTGCTCACTAAGAAGATTGCATCTTCTTCTGTAACTTTCAGAGCTTTACCTGGAATCCCATCCCATGGAGGGCCTCCAATAACATGTCCGAGATCCCTCATGGCAGTGCAATTCACCCATGCTAGCCCCTCACCGCTTCTTTCTCTTATAAGCAGACTCCCATAAATATCTACCAAAAACAGACTTCCATTGTAGTTTCCAAGGGCACCTTTCATTGGTGCTGGGTGGTCATGCCTTAGCCAAAGCCATAAATTTTCAGCATAAATATATTCAAAAGTCAAACCACCATCAGTAATAAGGAAAAATGATTTGCCTCCATGCATCATCCGCAGACGAAAGTTCATGTTGATCCAATTATCTGGGAATCTATATTCTTTCGAAACTTTCTGTGGTCCATTAGCACCTGCAAATAGGTAATCTTGTTGTGCTTGACTTCCCTTTCGCCTTCTTGCCATTGATCTTGTAATTCCTTGATCATTTGGCTCATCTTTTATGCCTTCAAGACAGTTCATCGGTCCACGTTCTTCTCTGCAATACTCAGCATTCCACCCTTCAGTCTCTGGGGCATCTAATATTGACCATACATATTTAATTGACATCTTTTTTTGGACATTGACTTGATGATTCGGCCCTGTATTTTCTCCACCTAGTCCAGGTAGATGCAACTCTGCAAGTCTACCATCATGCAGTGCGAAAACTATTCTGCCAACTTGGACTTGTAACCCAGAAATTCCACTTGCAACTTTTGCATGCGGGGGATGCATATGACTCGACCATGCTTCAGGAATTTGGTTTCCCTGATCAGTGCCTGGCTTCAAGAGAAAAAGTTAGATCTGACTTAACAATGATTTTGCTACAAACAACAAACAAGTTCAATGGTACACAAAGGTGCAAATCAGTCAAAAACCATGGCTTTCATCTTGTTGAATTGTTTAAAAATTCACAAACAACCATAATTTCTTTAAGAAATGGTTCCAAAAACAAAACATCTGTGATTTTTGTTCTTCCAAAATTTCTTTACTAGGCATTGTGAAAGCTATTAATCTCATTGAAGAAGCAGTGAAGAAAGAACAACCTATTTTCAATACTACTTCTATTTGTTTTATTGCTAGCTAGATGCATTTCTCTATTGTGCCAACTTTTCAAATACACCAAGAGCTTTGAATGAAGAATGAATTTCAATTCCATGAGGATCTTAATGTGCAACCAGAGGCATTATATGTTATTCCTGTTTTTCACCAGCCAGTCATGACATATGGAATTCCCTAGGAGTTTCAAAAGTTGCCCTTTCCCTTCCCTGAATAGGTTATTTGGAATTTTCCAGTCCTTTGATGAACCACCTTAACCGTTCTAAGGGGGAGACAAAGCCTACTTCCAGAATTAGGATCAGTGATTTAAAATATATAAACTGGTTACTTGATCTCAGCTCAATGGAATAGCATTCTCTGATGGCTTCCCTGAGGATGCATTTTCCTTGGTTTTCCATATGCGAGTCTGAGTAGTGAATTGGATATATACGAGTGAAAACTAGAAAAACCATACTTGGGTTGTCTTTGTTATGTGACTGTCCTTCATTGAGTGTATAAAGGAATCTCATTAGAAAGCATAAGAAGAAGAAGAATAGCGAAAAGCCTCACCATTTTGAGATTGAAAACAATTTATAGTAACTGCCTCACTCACCTGACTGTTTTGATATTCGATACTCAAAAACCGATCCAGAGGATGTGGTGAAAAATAATGACAAGAATTTTTCATTTGTCTCATCTTGTAGACCTGGTGTGATAGATGTCAACTGATGATCTTTGGGACTTCCATGGACTATCCATTTCCACTTCCTTTGGTTCAATCGTCTCTCTACCAATTTACCATCCTGGATATACAGAATACATTGTGAGTAGAGGCCAGGCAATCATTTAGCTTCCTTGGAAACAAGAAGATTTTCATTATACTTCTGCTGTGCACATTGTTCCCCCTATTTGGTTTACCTTTTTTTTAATCACTTTCTGTTGTCTGTGTGTTTGTGCGCATTATATTTACAAATATGGTACCTTAGTTAAAAGAAAAAGAGAGATGGAGTAGTCTCCACTCAAGCCATGTAGTGTGCATCCCATCGATGGCATCAGAGAAGCATCTTCTACTTTCCCTTCTGTCCATATATGCTTCTTCCATGATGGTTTTGACCTCCTATCGTATTCGTAGAGATCACCTGTAGAACTGCTTTGCAGCACACATTTTTTTCTTTTTCAAATGGCAAAGAAGATAATAGCCAAGAACCAATGAGACAGCTTAGCCACAAAGCATGGTTTGGTTGGGACGTTGTCCTACACAGAATATCTGATTATAACTACTGGCAACTTCACATTTAATTTGATGCTTGCCGGTCCACTTCTCAATTAGATATACTTTGTGTTAGCCCGTCCAAAAAGGTTATTATTGATTTCTTTTAATTTGAGTTGTTGGTTTGAGATAGATCTAACCTTACGGTATATACTACTTCTGGTCTAATAGTAGCAACAGCAGCAATTGCTGCAACATCTGCACCAGGTGGTCGCCCGTGAATTTCCCATCTGTTCTATGTTTACAGCATAAACTTCGTTAATATTAGAGTCTCCCCATCAGAATCTACTCTGTAGGCAGAGATTAAAATTCAAAAACAATAAAACTAGTTGTAGTTAAGACAGCTTTTAGTTTTAGAAATTCTAGTTTTACCTTGGAGGTTCTGCCTCACTAAGTTCTAATAACGAGCCATTCTTTGTGCAGAAATAAATTTTCCTGACAAATAATGCAGTGAAAGCAAGGAGTTAATTACTACATTTGCTGCAGTAAAGTAACGTGATTACGCTGTTTCAGACTCTTGGTATGTATAATTCACTGAATAGAAAGTCTTGAAACAGAAGTGATGCACTCACAACCCATCATGTGAAATGACGCCTGACTTTATTGGGATCGATGAACTTTGTCCTGCTTCTTTATTTGTGCTTTCATCGACAGTAGGTGTGAACTCTGTCCAAATTGGCTGTGAGCGCTCACTGAGTCTCATCTGGAAAGGAGAAAAATGATCCAACACATGAAACAGTAGTGCATTTGACAGTTATAGTGATCAGAAAATCCATTTTTATCAAGCAGGCATCAAAGCACGCTTGACCATCAAATTCAGATCACTCCTTGAGTTTGTTAGCACATATGTCCTGTAGTGGAAGAACTAGTTTGGTTTCGATTGAACATTATTAATTAATACGAGAAAATTGCTCGTGCATGAAGAAAATCATGGGACCATTGCACGAGCAACTTCAAAGACAAAACATGTGTTGGAGCTAACTAACATAGAGCCAGCCCTGGTTATGCAAGAGTGCCATGCCCGAATGTTTGACTTGAGTTGTGACATGGTTACACAATGATTACAAGTGCTTGTATAACACAGACTGCAGATTTGATGGTAACTAGAAAAAAAAGTATGTATAACTTTCCTGATTGAATCCAGTACTACTGGAAGACAAAAGGCTCTTTCAACTACTATGCAATCAAGGTTTGCAGGTCTACAGGTCCGATAGTAGCAATTAGCAAACATTTCTGCCTCGCCAAACTAAAACTTGTAGAAACAGGATAGGTAGATATGAAATAAAGTAGCAAAATATAGATGATCTTGAAAGTAATTGAAACCACGAGCTTTTTTTGAATTAAGCTAGATAACTGCAAAGATGCCTCATATTATATATGGTTTCTTCCATGATCATATAGACAAGACAGCAACTTTTATGAGCTGAAAAAAAGACTAGTACCTGATATAGGATTCCTGATTCTGATAGAGCAAGAATACTTTGATTGACAATAAAGATACAGATTGCATGACCAACCAATACAGGTAGATCATGGGGTGCTATCACCCACTGCACTCCATTCCAGAACCTCTCATAGATAGACCCACTTTCACCAGTTACCCAAATGGATGCCTCAGACATTTTGGTCAAAGAAATCCTCTTCCTCAATGGCAGAACAATCTCAGAATTCTGTTCTTTTCCTCCATCCCCATCCTTCCTTTTCAGACTTCCAGTTTTCCTGGTAACATCATTTTGTCTTTCTAACTGCTCTTCTGCATCTCTTGTAACCGGATGAATTGAACCAACTTTAGTGCAGTTGTCACTAACACAAGAGACAAGGTCATATGGCAGTTCCACTTCAACCCATGTTTTCGATTGCTCTTGGAACTCCCAGAAACGATCAGTTTTCTGCTCAAATTTTCTATTATTTTGTGGAGCATAGCTATGTGGGCACCAAGAAGAAGAGCCATAGCTAGATGTCAAGAGGACCAAGATGAGAAATATTAAATGAAACAAAGGCATAGTGGCATGGGAGAATCTGGTGATAATAGGGCCAGAATCCAGATAGATACACAGAAAGACTTGGAAACTAAGACATGCAGGGGCCGTCAAGTACAAATTATTTTGGTTTTTTATACCCCTTGTGGTGCCCCATATAGTGTTATCACAAGAGAAAGGCCACAGGAAACTACTAGAAGGACTTGACCATCATTTTTGGAAAAAACTAGGAGCTCTTTTCATGGCCTTCTCAGCAGGACCATAGTAAATCCAGAGGGAAGTTTGTGGGTGTCCATGCATGGGAGAGAGGTTAGTTAACATTGACAGCATAGTTTTTCTTAGATTTTAACAGCCTCTTCATTTATCATCTCTCTGTGGTTAGAATAATTAAGGCGGTGATTATGTCTTTTGGTGGGGTTGCTGAGCTTGCTTGCTTTGTAAAGCTGTGACCGTGCTTCACATTTCTTAGCATCTAGTAATGATCTTCTCACCCAATTCATGACTTTATGACTCTGGGCCAAGTTTCTATTTAATTATACGATGCTCTGCAAATGGTAAAAAGAAATTAAATCTTTTTGTGGATAATTCTTTCTGCTTTTCTAAAGTTATTCCTTTATATCAAAAGTAGCTGCACTACTCGCACGGCATTACATATTGCATATGCCCAAAGCTTGATAAAATGATAGGATGATTATGGCCATCCAGTTGATGGTGGTGGTGGTGGTGGGCTTACCAGATGTAATATCATGGGTCACTCGATTTCTTTGAGTAGACTGATGAACATCTTTTTTCCAGGTAAACCCCCTCCCCCTTTTTCAACACTGATTGAAGCTAAATTCTAAAGAGATGAGGTAAGAAGATGCCATCGATTTTTTCCTGGGAGTCATTATGGCTTTGAAAGAGACACCACCACCGTAGTGGCAAGCTGTGGAATTATAACTCTCTTTTTCACAATTTTATTTTTTTAGTCAAAACTGTATTTTCTCGTCCATGTGATTTTGTTTTTATTTTGACAATATCAAGTCTTTTTTATTATTATTAATATGTTTAATTAAATAAAAAACTAACGGTGACTAAAAAATATCCATAAGAATTCTAATGACTTGAATATAAATGAAAACATGTGTTTTTTTTTTAAAAAACTCATTTTCCTTATTCATGCATTTTTTTTATTTTGATGAATTTTTTTTATTAGAAGCATTATTTTTTAAATAAAAGTTATTATGACTGTGGATTCAAATTTCAATAAAAAAATAAAATAAAACTATGAGTCAGTCATTTTTAAGCACTTGTATGGATAAATATAAGAATAATATATCTAAAAAATTATATGAAAAAAAAAACAAGAGCACTTGTATGGATAAATATAAGAATAATAAATCTAAAAAATTATATGAAAAAAAAACAAGAAATAAATGTTCTATTCTTATTGAATATTAATAAGAAATGTTTTTTAAAAAATTCTTCATATTAGATTAAATTAATATTATCATGAAAAGCTTTATTTTTTTTCTGAAAACTATGATATAATTGAATAATTATTTACATAAATTTATATAAATATAATTTAATTCTAAAAAGGTATATATAAAAAAAAGGTTAACGGCTATTTAATAAAAATGGATGAAAGATGAGCCATGTGACTCGCTAAAAAGAAAAAGGCTCAGGTGGGAAAAAAAACACACAAACCTAACTTAAAAAAAAAAAGAGTGGAAAACAACTTTTCTTTTAATGGAACAAATGACAAATTGTTCGTTTAGACAGATAAGTCATCTTTTTTTAGTTCAAAATTCAGCATCTTCAATGATTAAAAAGTAGACGCTCAAAAAAATTTTATAAAGCTATTTTCAATCTTAGAACATCATTTTAATTAATTTAAAAATTATTCATTTAATCAAATCAAAACAAAATTCATGTGTTTCGACCTCTATTTTCTTGCACATTTAAAGGGTAAAACAATATTCATTAAGTTTCCTGTGATTAATATATCGTCAAACAAGCACTTTCTCTTTCCCTAAACCCTTTTCCCACATCTTTTTCTCTCATTTTTTAATACATAAAGATTAAAATATAACAAAAATAAATTTTAAGATTGAATTGTGAAAAATTCAAACAACATAAACCAAATAATGCATAAATAAAATTTGAGAGACCAAAGTAAAGTTTTCTGTGCTTTTGAATGGTAAAAACAAAAATGATTTTTTTTTGTTAATTTCTATCATTTGTCTTTTGATTTTTTAATTATGATAAGAAATTATATTTTATAGCATCTATCTTTAATTTTTGACATATTATTGGTATTTCACATATGCGAGAGCATATTAAATAAATAAAATCTCAACATGTAAAACCATGCAAATATATGAGATTGTAAAAAAATTAAAATTTGATAACCAAAATAAATAAAATATACAATTAATGTACAATGCAGACTAGATTTCAGTAAGCTGCTACAGTGAAATTTTAAGTTAAGGGATCCTGTTGAAATTTAAATGAACCACTATTGGGAATTTATAAATTTGTGGATGAAAAATATTATTTAAAAATTTAAATTAAACTAAAAACGAAAATAGAATTAATTAAGTTATGTCGTTCCCAATAACAAAACGAACCTAATCTACGTATGTTTCCATTAGAGAAAAAACATCATTTTTTTTTATCTTTAGATATTTTTAATTGGAAAGAGTCTCCGAGGCTGATTTTCCAATATATTTATTCGTTAATCAAGTTTAAAAAACAATCAATTTTTGTTGTCTGATTGAAGGGCCTTCCTGGGGCCCGCAGAAGACCGTGATCTCCGTGTCGGCCACGTCTAAGAATCTAAGGCCAGGGGGCTTGCCCTTTCGATTATAATTATTTTAACTTGTTCATATTAAAAATAAAAATAAAAAAACTTCAAAATCTGCATGACATGCACATGGTGGGTTTTATACAGTATCGCTCATTAATGCACTGGTAAAATAGTAATTAACTTTTTCCGAGCGGTGGTGGAAGGCTGACAGGGCTACCTATTTTCCATACACTACAATTGTCGGAGTAGACTTTTTATGGCTGAACTGCCGTGGGAGGTGTTGTTGGACAACATGTGTGATCGATACGTCGTCGTCTTGGAATTTAAAACTTGTAAAGAACTCATTTTTTACCGTTTTACATAATGCTTTTTAAAATGGGCAAATCTTAAGTTAGTTCCCAATCTATAACCAATATTTTAATTGATCCGACACATTAAAACCATAACAATTTTCTTTTATGTTAACAGTCTGTTTATTCTAAGTTTTAAACATATTTTTTAAAAAAATTAAATTTTTTTATATTTTTATTTATTTTAAATTAATATATTTTTAATATCTTTAAATTATTTTGATGTACTAATATTAAAAACAATTTTTAAAAAATAAAAAAAATATTAATATCTATTTTAACATAAAAATTATTTAAAAATAATTATAACTATACTGTGAAACAAACTTCTAATCACAATCAGAAAGAAAGAACAAGATTTCGAATTTTGATGGAGTGTTCGAATGATTTTTTTCCTCTCCCTCGTGTTGAATTTATTTGAATGGGGACGATTATGAAGGGACTTTTACTTAATGGAGGTGGAGGCAGAAACTAATAAAACATATTTGACTTTATTTGGAAATGGAGGTGGGTAGGGCATTCTTCGACCCCATGAATCTCCGTACCTGGATTTATATATTAAAAAAAATAAAGGCAGGTGGAGCCTCCTTTGACGCCATGGATCTCCGTACCCGGGTTTAAATATATAAAAATAAATATTTATAATTCTTTCAGCACCCATACACAACAATCTGTACAGTGTTTGGCTTTTTTCTCTTTAAGATTACTTCGATTAAATTTATTTGATTAATATAATATATTGCATTTTTCATATCCTATATACTATACTTCTAATATAATATATTGCATTTTTCATATCCTGTATACTATATGGAGATTGTTCATGAGGGGTAAAAAAATCTACAATGGACATTCAGCTCCACCAGAGAGGCTTTCATGGAGATGGAAAAGGAGAGCCTTTTCATTATTTTTTTTTTATGTATGAGAATATGGGTCAATTTGTATTTTTTTAAAATTAATTCTTTATATATTTTATATTTTTTTTGATATGTTGATTTTAAAAATAATTTTTTAAAAATAAAAAATATTATTTTAATGTATTTTAATAAAAAAAACTTTAAAAAATAACTATAATTACATTCACAAACAACTAACAATGATTGTAAATTTAACTTGTTGAAAATAAGGTTAATCTAAGTTTTTATTTTTTTTATCTTTTAACTGACAGGTCAATAAGCTCACATAATTATAATTTCAACATAATTTAATCTAAAATTCAGATTAAGTAAATAGTTTGAATTAAGGTTTTCAAATTTAAACTACTATACTAAAATTAATGATAATATTAAAAAAATTATAGCAATTTAAATATTATTTCTTTACTCTTCAAAGTTTTTTTTTTCCAAGCTGCTGCAGCAATATAGCAGGGCAATAAATAAAAAACGTGGGCCTGGGCCGCAGCCTCCCTTCATCAAACGGGATGTTAATATTAGCTTTGTAGGATATAATTATTTATTTTCTACTACGATAATGGTTAATACTAAGTTTATTATTTATTTCTTTACATGTGGAATAATAAAAATATTAGTTTTATAAAATCCTAGATAAAATCTCTTCTCAAATTAAATATTTATTATGTATGATATTTAACAGGTTAAACCATTATAAATTAGAATAAAAGCATAGAAAGATAACAATAAATTATTAACTCGTAGATAAAATATTAAAAAAAAATATTTGTTTTGACGGTTTACGTGGCTTAAAAGAAATGGGATTTGTTTTGGTGGTGGCGGCGGCACAATTTCAAAAAAAGCTCCATTCTATTGAGCCCATGTTTCTGGACTGTAAGCTTGCTTTTAGCTCTGAGTTTATGAGCCCTTGTTCTTATAGTCGAAGATCAGAGTCTCGAGACCCTCCTCCGCCAGGTTTTTGGAAGCTTAATGTTCCCCAGGTAATCTGGGTAAAGGAAGGCAGTGCAGGCAGCATCATCATGGATTCTCTAGATGGTCGAATCTCAGGTTTTTCTGCCATTATTTTGTTGGAAATAATAAAGAATATTTCAAAACATTTATATTTTATATTTAAAAACATATAAAATAGATATTTGATCTCTTATATCGCCTTAAAAAATAAAATTTTTATTTAGCATTTATATAGTAAAATTTAATATGAAATAATAATTAACAAAAAAAAAAAAGAGCGTATTCACATGTATAAGGTTAAGTCTAATAAGAAGAAAATCTTTGATTGTTTCCCAGACAATACTTATACTTTATGAACTTTTTGTTTATGACCTTAAATTGAAACTATATTTTTTAAATACTCGAAATTAATTTTTTAATAATTACAAAATCCTAACAGTTTTTTTTTTTATTTTAAAACTTTGTTTAACAGTCGTAACTCTTTAATTTCCTAATAATTTTATTTTTTGAACTATTTCAACAACTCTGTAATTCTATAATTTATTTTTTACTGGTTGTTACATGCTAGCAATTAACCTATATATACAATGCAATTT